TATTATTTGTTATATTTTTATTATTCATTATTTTCACTTGACTCGCATAAATAATTTTGTTCGAAGAACATTTATATGCAGTTGTACTTCGCAGCACTTCACTTGCAATTTGCAATTTCTAGTATAGCGTAATAAACAGTGTGGGATGATTTAGCATAATTTAGCAGACTTTTTGCTTCCTTCTAGCAGAATGTCATTTTTTGCGCTGGTCATACTGTACGTCAAGGCGATCAAATCTACGAAAAAGAACGTTATCATCTCAAGGGGTTTCGATTTTCAAAATTAAAAAAAAAGTGAGATGAAAAATGAGAAGAAATATTGAAAAAAATCTTCCAGAAGTATACGACTACGGGCCCACTAATTCTAATATACTGCAATTGTATACTGTCGCTGTACCGAGACCTTTTGCTAGGGCCTGCCTATGCATTTAGTACAGTATAGAGACATAGACTAGTAATTGGCTAGACCTTATAAAACGGTATCCGATCTTTTAGGGTGGTATTTAAACTTAATTATTGAAATGAAAAAAGGGCTAGGCTTGCATAGCACCAGCTTTGGTTATGCGCAGTTACAATTAAAGCATGATGCCTGGGCCAGGCTAAACCCTTGCAACGTTATATTATTGTTTAAACCATGCTAAATAGTGAAAATTGGAACAGCACTGCCATTTTCCAATACTTTTAATGAAACCAGTGCAAAGTTTTAGGATTTTTTATTTAATTTAGCCTAAATCTTTGGTAAATTGTGGCTTTATTAAAATATCTTAAAATGTATTATTTGGGATATAGGCCTACCTTAATTGTTATAGCAAATAGCCTAATAATAGGCTACACTTATTGAGACTCAAAATCTATTTTTTTGTGTTATCAGTACACTTCCGTTTCACAGACTCGGCCGTGTTTACAATTCAAGCGCATGCGTAAAAAGTAGATACTTTCGGTTCGGGCACAGCGGCTCAGTTAGCGCGGTGGGCTTACGAAACGGCCAAATGCGAAGTCGACATCAATATCGATTTCGTTATTGCGTTGTTGTTACCGTTATTGTTGAATTAAATCATCATTATCATGTTTATTACCATCATCCTCAATATTATTATTTAAGACTAGACTGAAATTTGGGGGAAAATGTATTCTTGACCTGACTTTTTGGGACAATGACGTGGCCTAAAATGTCTACCGGCATTGTATACAGATAAGAAATTTGAAGCTGATTGAATATTCCCTCTTCGATGAGAAAATTTCTAGAAACTGTAAGCAGCTAGACGCTCATAGATGGCATCTTGGCCTAAGGATGGTGTTTTTGTATCTCATCGGCGTCCAAACTATTAATTTATATAGGCCTATCCAATTCAGGCTAACATTTGATATTAACGTTTTAAACTATTATGTTTGATACCACGACAAACCTCTCCTAACTTCTCTCTCTGACCATGGTTGGGGCTGAGGTTAGAAATTTTATGATTATGTCATCTGCAGATGGCAGAAATAGCACTCTCATGCTTAAATTTTAATACAACTCTCTTTTTTTCTCCATTTTATTTTTATTTTGAAAAAATTAGAGGGCCCGGGCCATCTACCTACCAGGGGAGGCGGCATCGGTGGGAGGGG